ACTATTTCTAGGCCTTGTTGAGTCTTTCCTTTCTCAAATGCCAGGAGCTTTCCGTGCTAGTCAGGGGTAGGGTTCTAATGGGTGAACTGAACAGATGTGCTCGATTGAATGAGACGTGGAGTTGCTTAGGGGAAAGTAGGTCTTGAATTGGGCCTTGGAGGTAGCAGGGTAGGGACCCAAGGGAGCTAGAGGCAAAGGGATCACGGTCCTGCTCCTGACAACCTGGGGAGGGGCAGTGCAAGACTTGGATAGAAACACTGGGGTGTGGTTTGACAGTCTAATGCAGAGCAGAAACCGTTGAAGACTACTAAAAAGGGAGAGAAAAAGTGATTTGAAGGTGATAGTTTAGTAAAATAGAAGGCGGAGACAGATCTGGAGAATCTGTACTCCCCAAGGGTCATTTCCTTGCTTTAAACTACACATCCACAGAGTGGTTTGGAAGCCAGAGAGGTAGTCCACTTTCAAGAGGAGAGGGTGTGAGCTAGGTCAATAGCTATGGTTAGAAAGGGAAAGGTTGGGGCTAGGGCTGTAGCTCAACAGCAGAGTGCTTGTCTAGCATTTGTGAGGCACTGGGTTCAATCCTTAACACCATATAAAAATAAAGTAAAGCATGCTGTCCATACACAACTACAAAAAAAAAATGATAATAAAATAAAGGGAAAGATCAGAAATAGAATTTATTTGTTTATATGTTTAGGACAGAGTGTGAGAGCAGAGGGAACATGGGAGAAATCAACAGTGAGTTCTGCCCAGGTTTTAGGACTACAAGGAAATTATTTCATTGCAAAGAAAAAGAAATCCAAAGTGAGAATTATTTGCAGGGAGAAAATGTGGTGTTGAGGATCTAACCCAGTATACCCAGTGCCTCACATGTGCTAGGTGAGTGTTCTACACTGAACCACAACCTCAGCCCTGGGAAGTTGTCTTTTATATGGGCCAACTTTAGCTAAATACCTATACATACAGAAGATACCCTAAATGGCCTCAACTTTAACAGGAAGAAGGCCTGATTTGGGCCCACAGAATGAGGACTTCACTTCTGTTTCTTGGGATAATTCTGTTTCTTGGGATAGTTTTTCGGGTTAGTGTGTTTTGGGGTTTTTTTTTGTTTGGTTGGGTTTGTGTGTGCGTGCATGTGTGTGTGTTTGTGTGTGTGTGTGTGTGTGTGTGTTAGTGGAGATCAAACCTACGGTCTTCAGCATGCTAGGCAAGTACTATTAGCACTAAACTATATCCCTATATCCTTAGGATATATTTATTTATTTTTTATTTTTATTTTTTTAGTTGTTGATAGACTTATTTATTTGTATGTGGTGCTGAGAATTGAACCCAGTGCTTCACACATGCCAGGCAAGTGTGCTACCACTGAGCCCCAGCCCAGGATGTATTTTTTGTTGATGAGCTTTAGTGTCCCAACATTTGAAATAAAAATAAAGTGATAAAATGCTTAGAAATACTCTGTGAAGCTAGGCACAGTGGTGCACACTTGTAATCCCAACAACTTGCAAGGCTGAGGCTAGAGGATAGCAAGACCCTATCCCTATCTCAAAATAAAAAATGAAAAGGGATAGAGGGGTATCTCAGTGTTTGAGCTCCCCTGGGTTCAATCCCCAGTGCCTCCAAAATAAAAGGAGGGAGGCTTCATGAAAATTGTTAGTGGTATTTTATCATTTTTGTTTATAGAAATAGTAGTCATGGTTTGAGCTTTTAGGAGGCCCTTTCTAGATAGTTTTGTTTTTTGTTTTTGTTTTTGTTTTTAGTTGTAGTTAGACACAATATACTTATTTTATTTATTTGTATGTGGTGCTGAGGATTGAACCCAGGGCCTTACACATGCGTGGCGAGCGCTCTACCGCTGAGCCACAACCTCAACCCCAGTAGTTTTTGGTTTTTATTGATAAAGTTTTGTTAGTTTGTTTTTGATGATAGACCTTTATTTATTTATTTACCTGTGGTGTTGAGAATCGAACCCAGGGCCTCACATATGCTAGGCAAGTGCTCTACCACTAGGCCATAACCCCAGCTCTCTATTGATTAAAAACAGTGGGATTTGTTGTTACCAATACACATGACAGGACGATATAATTTGATCAGTTTCATTCCCAAGTATTTTCCCTGCTCCTCCTCCCTCCTTTCCTCCACTGGTCTAGCTTTGATTTTCATGAGATCTTTTCTTTTTTCCTTTCTAGCTTCTGCATATGAGAGAAACATGACCCTGGACTTTCTGACTTGGGCTTATTTTGCTTAAATACATATTCTCAAATTTTATTCATTTTTCCTGCAAAGGACATAATTTCTTCTTCTTCCTTGTTCATAGTGCTGTATTGTGGATCTTACCACAGATATGAATTTTTTTTTTTATCATTTGATGTTTTTCTCTCCCCCTTCAGGTGCCCAGATGACCATAATGAGCCAGGCTTGTGCGGAGAGGTGTAATATAATGAGGCTGGTGGACCGTCGGTGGGCAGGGATTGCCAAAGGAGTAGGCACCCAGAAGATTATTGGAAGGGTACATCTAGGTGAGTGAAAGCTGCTTGGGTGTTGCTGTATTTTTGTAGGGTATGTATAGAACGATAGATTTTAAGATTTTGGACAAACTAACTATCTTTCTTGTGGATACATTGGATTCAGCAAGCTTTAATTCCCCTGAATCCTGTGTTTACCAAGATTATATGTACATGTTTTCATTGATTACCAAAAAACTAGACTACACACTTGTATTTCCTGCTTTCCTGCTCCCCAGAGGGATTCACCTCTATTATTTTGGCTATTTCTCCCCCCACCCCCACCCCTCCCTCTCCCTCTCCCATCTTTCTTTTCTTTTTTGTACTGGGGATTGAGTTCAGAGTTGCTTTACCACTGAGCCACATCCCCTGCGGGTTTTATTTTTTATTTTGAGACAGGGTCTCACTAAATTGCTTAGGGCCTCAGTAAATTCCTGAGGTTATCTCAAACTTGAGATCCTCCTGCCTCAGCTTCAGCATCCTGAGTTTACCTCCGTATTTCTACATAGTGGGTTTATACTGCTGTTTATTGATATGACTATGCAAACTCTTTTGAGATGTAGACTGACTAAATATAATTGCTTTTCTTTTTTATGTGTAGTATTTTTTTTTTTTCTTGGAATTACTAATTGTCCTTTTGGGGAGTGTCATTTTATTTGTTATGTACCACTCATCTCTAGACACTTCCTCATTATGCAAGTGTTCTGTACACTTCTTTCAAAGCCTGGATAATGGTTCTAGACCTGCTCCATGGCTGTTGTTTGGGAATTTCTCTTAATCGTGTCCTGAGAATCCTTTTTCCTCTGCTGTGTTGTATTAACATGAATCCCATGTCTTTCCCTTTTTTAAATTTGTTCTTGCTGTACTAGGGATTGCACCTTGTGTGTGCCAGGCAAGCAATGTACAACTGAGACAGTCCTTCCGTCCATAGTTTTGAGACATTGTGCCTTACCCGTAGCATTTTCAGTGTTGCTGAAGAGCAGCTGTATGGTCTTGGTCCTTTTTTTTTTTTTCTTTTTTCTTTTTTCTTTTTTTTCTGTAGCTTGTAGACCTTCTCTTTGACTTGAGTCTTTTGATATACTTAGGTAAAGCTGTCCATCTCTTACACTGGCTACTTGTTGAACTTTTTAATCTGGAAACTCACGTCCTTCAGTTCTAGGGACATTCCAGTCTCTGTGAATGGTTATTTGGGTGGGCATCCATGGTGCTTGATATCTTAACTGAAGGATGGTCTGAAAGTGGATGAAAAAGTCAGTCTAGTATCTTTCCCTCATCCTCCTGGTTTCCAGTCAGTTGCTTGCTTTGTATTTGCTGTTCTCTGTACCCACCTCTGCTGAGAGAGCCCATTTCTCCTCTTTAGGAGATACACCCAAGTCTGCCAGTGGAATGAAAGGTAACCAGCCTGGCAGAGTACAGGAGGCATCCCAAGAGTTGATTGGACCTGTTCATGCTTGGTCTGTCTTCTCCTTCTGCCACCTTCGCCTGTTTGCAGAGCTGCCTTTGACCTTAAAGGGTCTGAGATATAAACTGGGCCACTTTCTTCACTGTCATCTACTTTCCAGTTCCAAAGTTGTTTTGTGTTGTGGTTTGGTTTGAGGTGCTGGGGATTGAACTCAGGGGCCTTATACATGCTGGGCAAGTGCTCTACCTCTGAGGTACATCCCCAGCCCTGTGCCCTCCCACGCTTGTGAAAGGTGGTCATATAATGGATATAGTTTTATGCTTAGCTTTTATGGGGTGGGGGTGGGTACCAGGGATTGAACCCAGGGGAGCTTAACCATTAAGCCTCATCCTCAGCACTTTTTATTTTTTATTTTGAGACAGGATTTTGTTGAGTTGCTGAGGCTGGTTTTGAACTTACCATGCTCCTGTCTCAGACTTCCAAGTTGCTGAGAGCACAGGTGTGCACCACTACATCCAGCTCTGCTCAGCTTTAAGAGAAAATAACATTTTCCCAGTGTCACTCTTTAAGTTTCATAAGAATTAGTCAAATAAGTGCATAGCTTTCTGTTATGGGCTAAATGATCAGCTTTTGGGATATGCCCTCCCACACACACACACCAACATTTTGTAAGTATAACATGACAGTAGATTTTTATGCACATTTTGATTTTTTTCCCTAAGCCTAAATTCCTGTGAGATTACCAAGTGAAAGTAATGAATGCAAAGTCAGGCATGGTAATGTATACCTGTAGTCCCAATGGCTCAGGAGGCAAGAGGATCTGAAGTTCAAAGCCAGCCTCGGCAGTTTAATGAGGCCCTGAGCAACTTAGCAACTCTGTCCCTAAAAAACAAAAACAAAAAAAGCTGGGGATGTAGCTCATGGTTAAGCACCCCTGGGTTCAATTCCTGGTACCCACCTGCCCCCTAAAATGTGTGTGTGTGTGTGTGTGTGTGTGTGTGTGCCTTAAGGCTTTTCATATATTGCTAACTTGTACCAGTTTAGTTTACCCACCACTTTATGAATATTCATCTTAATGTCCTATACCATTAAATGTTATTCATTTTCTGCCTTAAATTTGTAAATTAAAAAAAGGTGGTTTCTTGGGGCTGGGGTCGTAGCTCAGTTGGCAGAGCATTTGCTTTGCATGTGTGAGGCACAGGATTTGATCCTCAGCACCCACATAAAAACAAATAAAATAAAGATATTGTGCCTGTCTACAATTCAAAAAAATTTTTTTGGAAAAAAAAATGTGGTTTCTTATTGTTACTTTTATTGCAAATGGTAGCTTTTCTTCCTGTTCATCTTTTCCTTTCATGCTCAATTGAACCTGTGTTTTGAACTATATGGGCTGTATATTAGGGTCTTTGTATTTCTTTAATTGATTTGTGTAGAATAGAGTTTAAATGCCTTGTTCTTACATGTCCTAAACACAGTAGGACTGAAGAATTGAGCAGAAATAGTACAGGTTGGTTGCTTTAGAGGCTAAATTCTCAGGTTTTTCATGGTTGTGAGAGGATAACAGGAGGTACCAGGCAGGCTGTAATCCTAGGCGCTCTGGAGGCTGAGACAAGAGAACCACAAGTTCAAGGCCAGCCTCAGCAACTTAGCGAGATCCTGTCTCCAAATTTTAAAAAGATAGACATATGCCTCAGTGATAAGGCACTTCTAAGTTTAATCCCCAGCACCCAAATAAATAAATAAATGGATGAATAAGTAAACGTGAGTGTGTGCCTCAGTGATAAAGCACTTCTAAGTTTAATCTCTAGTACCCCAAGAGACAAAATAAATACCAGTCCCTTGTGTCCTTGTGAGTGGACTGTTTTGCAATTCTAGCATGACAGATATAAAGAAAACCTGTATAACAATCTAAATAAAAGCTTTCCCATGGATTAGGACACTCTGTTGGAGATCATAATTACCATATTTGTCTACAGAGTCACAATAACATCCAAATCCTGATTTTTTAAATAAGATTATGTATGCTAATTTTAAATTTTGTGTGGGCCTGTTACTTAGCAAGAAAGGCACAATGCTCTAGAATAAGTCTTAGTCCTTTGACTTGATATCTAGAAAATCTAGAAAATACCAAAAGGGACATACTCATGCTTAATTGAACTTTGATGAATTAGAGATGATGTCCTTACAGAGCAGGGGTCATGTTTCAGAAAATGCTACTAAGACATTTGGGCGTTCATGTGGAAAAATGGAATGATTAGAAATTGGACCCTGCTCCACCCCATAGACACAAGTCAGACCAGGTGGAGTAAAGATAGAGCTGGGAAGGCAAAGTGAGCGCTCTGGGAAGAGAGTGTAGAAGGATATCTTGGTAGGAAAGGAGTTCTTTAAAAGATAGGAAGGAAATTATTTACTATGTTCCATTAGTCACATTAAGATTAAGAACTTGAGGGGCTGGAGATGTGGCTCAAGCGGTAGCGCGCTCGCCTGGCATGCATGTGGCCCGGGTTCGATCCTCAGCACCACATACCAACAAAGATGTTGTGTCCGCCAAGAACTAAAAAATAAATATTAAAAAAAAAAATTCTCCTCTCTCACTCTCTCTTTAAAAAAAAAAAAAAAAGATTAAGAACTTGAGCTGGGCACAGTGGCACATGCATATAATTCCAACAACTCCAGACAGAGGCTCAAATTTAAAAAATGAAAGTGCTGCTAGCGTGGCTCAGTGGTAGAGCACCCCTGGATTCAATCCCCAGTATGTGGGCAGGGTCAATACTGCAAATAACGTGGACAACCTGAGAAAGAACTTCAGTAACATAACTAATGAAGGGTTTGTATTTGTATCTGTGTTCTCCAGTTTGGTGGGAGAGAAAAAAGGAACATTTATGGCAGTAATTGAACAGGAAATTCAGCTATCTTTCCACTGGAAGAGGAAATGCAAATAGTTAATGATTATATGAAAATTTGCTCAACCTCATTATCCATACAGGAAATACAAATTCACTTGCCAGATTAGCAAAGATTTAAAATCTGTTATCAAATGTTGGTGAGAACATGGAGCAACAGGAGCTCATTGTGCTGGAATCATTTTTGAGGATAATTCACTACCACCTAGTGAGGTTGACACAGCACCCCTAGAACCTGGGGATTTTATTTCGTAAAATGCATTTTAGAGAGGTTCAGGTAGACAAGGGGGCCACACACCATGTGACAGTCCCATTGCTCAGGTCAGCAGAGACCAGTAGCTGCTGAAGGAGCCCAGTCACTGCGAGTGAGGGCACCAGTGGGGGCTGTTGGCCTTTGCAGTGCTCTTGGGGGGGGGGCTGAAAGTGAGAGTAGTGGAGGCATGCGCATCTGCTGGGCTGTATCTCAATTTTTTTTTTTTAATATATTTTTTTAGTAATCGGTGGAGCTTTATTTGTTTATTTATGTGGTGCTGAGAATCGAACCCAGTGCCTCACACATGCTAGGCAAGTGCTCTACCACTGAGCCGGGACTCCAGCCGCCCCCGCCTGCCCCTCCAGCCTTTTTTAAATAAAAGAGGTAAATCTTAGTTCAAAACTGGGAAGTAATATGCTGCTTAGAAATACGTACAAAACTGGCAAAAAAACAAGGAGAAGCTGGGGATGATTGACACAAAGCCAGGATAGTGAGGAGGTTGAGTGGGTGTACATGAGGCTCTTAACTAGAGGAATAGTCAGTGAGTCCCAACTTTCAGTTTTAAGTTTTTTGCAGTACTAGGGCTTGAGCCCAGGTACTGGTTGAACAGTGTATCACTGAGCTATACTCCAGCCCCTTTTTATTTTACTTGAGTCAAGGTCTCACTGAAGTACTGAGGCTGGCCTCAAACTTGACAATCCTCCTGCCTCAGCCTCCCAAGTTGTGCCCTGCACTTGACGTGGGTGTTTATTATACTTTCTACTATAATAAATTTTATATATTCTACAGCTTGCTATTTAATGATAGCAAAATACTCTTTTTTTAAAATCTGAGAAATACCTTTTTTATTTTCTGTTTCTCTTGGTACTGGGAATTGAACCCAGGGATATTTGACCACAGACCCACATTTCTATATCTATCTATCTATCTGTCTGTCTGTCTGTCTATTTATTTGAGACTGAGTCTTGCTAAATTGTTTAGGATCTCACTAAGTTGCTGATGCTGGCTTAGAATTCGCAATCCTCTTGCCTGGACGCTGAGTTGGTGGAATTACAGATATGAACTGCCATGCCCAACTACATTTTACTTTATTTTTATTTTTGAGACAGTTCTGCTAAGTTGCCCAGATGATTTTCAGGCTAACTCAACTGTTAACATGCTTTGCCTTGGCTTTGATTGATTGCAGGATGTGAGACACATAATGATCAGTTCATTTCCAGAGTTCACCTGGGTCTTTTGAAGCAAACATCAGTAACCTGTTCTCTTTGTGCTTTAGCTCAGGTTCAAATTGAAGGTGATTTCCTGGCATGTTCTTTCTCTATACTTGAGGAGCAGCCCATGGACATGCTTCTGGGACTAGACATGCTTAAAAGGCATCAGGTAATGAAGAACTTGTTTGCACCTACTTCTTGTGTGTTCTATGGCCATTATCTCTATGGCAAAACCAAGAATCGTGACTTTCATACCCACAACGTCAATCCTTAGTTGGTTGTCGTTCCAAGAAATAGCCATGTCTTTGTGAAATCTCTCTGGGAATCTTGAGTCTTTTTTTTGTGTTCACATGTTAATGGGCAATTTGGTTTCCTAGTGTAGCTTTAAGATTCTGATTAGAACTCAGTAAGTTTTACTGTGAGTGTTTAAGTTCAGTAAATCTTTAGTAATTCTTAGATGCTGATCAAATAGTGCTTGGAAGAACTTCCAAATTAAGGGAAGTACAATAGATGATGTCAAGATTAAACTTCTTTTATTATAGAGACAATAATTTGAATATATTAATTCATGGTCATATTTTTATTTCTAGCCTGAAGCCTAATAATTTCACCCTGATTAAAGAAATAGTGTTCACTAGGTAATAAAACTTTCAAAGTGGGCTTTTATATGTAGTCAGTATTTTTATGTCTTTTTTTTTTTTTCCAGTAATGGGGATTGAACCCAGGGGCATACTACCACTGAGTTATTATGCCCAGCATTTTTGTTTAACTTACTATTATTATTTTTTTCAGACAGCCTAGACCTTGGATTTGTATTCCTCCTGCCTTACCTTCCCAAGTTGCTAGGATAATAGGCATGTACCTCACGTGTTATTTTTGAATATTTAAAAATTTAATTCCAGCTGGGTGTGCAGTTAAGTGGCATAGCTTTCACCTAGTGTGTGTGATGCCCTGAGTCAGATTCCCAACACCACACACATACACCCCAAAATCCTAGAAAAGAATTTGCATCGTATTCACTTAACATTATGTATATATGTATACATAAATCCTAATTCATTAACTTTTACTATCTTTCTCTGTATGTTAGTCATAGCATAAACCAAAACTCTCCAATTTTATAAATATATATGTGTGCAACTATCCTATGTTAAGTTGATACAACAATGACAGAAATGGCCAGGCACAGTGATGCATGCTTGTAATCTCTGACCCAGAAGCCTGAGGCAGGAGGATCACAAGATGAGGTGAGCCTCAGCAACTGAGCAAGACCCTGTCTCAGAATTTTAAAAGGACTGGGAATGTGGCTCAGTGGCAAAGCACCCCTGGATCAATCTCCCCGTATGGTAACTAAAACAAAGCAACAACACAGAAAAGGGTGGCATACATATAAAAAATATTTTCTAAAATTCACCTTGTACATCTATCACTTTTGAGACCATTGGTGTAGAATTCAAGCTGTAATTTGTATAATAAGTGAAAGAAGCAATGTATAAAACTATGAATAGTATGGTCTCAATTTATAATCAGAAGTGATCAAATACTTTTTTAAAGGCAAATAAATATAAAAGTGTGTCCTGTAACAATTATCCTGTTATAAACTTTGAGTATTAAAAAGAATTCTAAATGGTGCATGGTGGCACACACCTATAGTCCCAGCTACTCAGAAGTCCAAGGGAGGAGGGTTCCATGAGCCCAGAAGTTCAGGGCAATATAGCAAGAGCCCATCTCAAAATAAACAAAAAGATCTAATTTAGCAGACAGTGTCCCCAAGGTTAAAATTCAAATGGTTTCCAGATAAAAGTAGGGTGTTTTTTGCAGCCATCTCTCCCTGTCCTTGTCGCTTTTTGTGAATGGAGTTTTAAATTCGGGATCATACTTTTTCTGCTTGGTGTTTTATCTGCTCTGGTCATTTCATTTCTTCCTCCTAAGTGTTCCATTGACCTCAAGAAAAATGTACTGGTGATCGGCACCACAGGCTCACAGACCACCTTCCTTCCTGAGGGAGAGCTACCAGAGTGTGCCCGGTTGGCATATGGGGCTGGGCGAGAGGATGTGCGGCCAGAGGAGATTGCAGACCAGGAATTAGCAGAAGCCATTCAAAAATCAGCAGAGGATGCAGGTATTTGGATGGCCAAGCTCTTATTGCTTGTGGTATCAGTGGGGGTAAGGACCTTTTCCATTTGTAATGAGTCTCACCATCAGTTTTAGATGTGCTCATTGTCTGTCTTCTTACTGCCTCCTCCCATCTCTTTATCCAATAAAGAGAAACTCTGTATGTTAGCAGATCAAGAAACAGCAAGTTCACTTTTTGGTAGGCTTCTTAAGATATCTTTTTTTCCTAAAGGAAATTATAACAGTAAACAGACACTTTGAAGTTCAGCAGTATTTCCCTAAAACTTTCTTTCCTTTCCTTAATCCATTTATTTTGGACAGTAGCATTGTCATTATGACTAAGCAGTCTTAAGTTTTAAAATTTACTGAAAATGCTACCACCAAAGAGGAAAAAAAAAAAGAAAACAGCAATGAGAATCACAGCTGAACAGTCATCAAAATGTAGCATTTTGTGCTCTGAGATCACAGTGGTGTTGTCAGGCCATAAAACGGTATATAAACTATTGTAGTCAAGTTACCCATGTTTTTTTCTCAGTTTCTATAGTGTTTAGTCTGTTTAAACCTAAAGACAGAGCCAACACTGCTGGGTAAAATGGAACAATATGGTTTTGCTGAAATCCCCACCTGTAATAGAACAGTGTCTCTGGGATTCATTTTCTAGAAGCTGAAAAGAATTAACTTCCAAGTTTGGGTTATTTGAAAGTCTTGAGCCAGAATAATTTATAAGTATGACTAATCTCACGCATTGCTTTTTCTAATACAGTAAAATGTACTCGAGTTATCAGTTCAGGGAATAGCTGTTTCCCGTGGATGAGATAACGAATTTTAAAATTTAAGCAGATTTTGCCACACTTTACTGGAAAGTAGTTGTAGTTGCAGTGTAAATATTTTGAAGGAAGGGGAGAATTTTGAACAACAAGCAGTCATTTTATTCTTAAACCCAGCACTGTAAGCTTAAGTGAGTTGGACATACATAATTATCCATTTGGGGAGGTGTAATTTGTCAGCTTAATGATAATACCATGTTTAATGAGAGGATATATTACCATTTCTTCTCTCATACTTATGATGCTAATATTGGAGAAATACTAGCTGATGATAACAGTGTTTTGTAACCTGCAAGTAATAATTACCCTCTCTGGTAATTACCTTATTTTAATAAAAAGTTTAGGGGATTAAAATACATACCACAGATATTTTAAGCTCAGTGAAGGGTATGTATCAATTTTAAAGAATTAAAAGGAAATCACTTTTTATCCATGTCATTTTTTAAGGTTTTTTTTTTTTGTTTGTTTGTTTGTTTTTTAGTTGTAGACAGACACAGTATCTTTATTTTTTCTTAAGTTTAATTAGTGAAATAATTCTGTAATATCAGGTCCTATTTGTTTGGAAATATGACTTTCCAATATCATCACAATCAAAATTATGGCTAGGTGTGGTGACACATGCCTGTAATCCCAGTGGCCCAGGAGGCTGAGATAGGAGGATTACAAGTTCAAAGTCAGCCTCAGTTATTTACCGACACCTTGTCTCTGAATAAAATATAAAAACGGGCTGGGGGTGTAGTTCTCAGTAGTTAAGCACTCCTAGTTTTAGCCTCTGTACCCCCACTCCCCCCAAAATCAATTTTTTAGGGAGGTATTAGGGACTGAACCCAGAGCCTTGTACATGCAATTCAAGCCCTCTGTCATCGGAGCTGTATCCCCGGCCCCTCAAAACTCTTGATTTTTAGGTGAACATATTTTGGAAAAGCTGTTTCTTTGATACATGCTTTATATCAAAGTCTACTTATTTTTTTTCCAGGAATTGAAAACTAATTTAGAGTAGGATCTATATCTAATGTTTTCTAATGGTGAAAATTAAAGAAGATAAGTCAGGATAGAAGTCAGGTTTGGTTTCTTCTAAAAATGAATCTCAACTAAGAAATGTGGAAAATGATTTTTACACATGTTCACTAACCTTTATTCCTGGAGACGATTTTCTTATCATCTAGTTCCATCTAATGGATTTCCTTTTTTTTTCTTTTCACACATTTGCTGAAGTTCTCTATGTGTAGATGTGTAAAATTGATTTCTTTACACATTCAATTAAAGTATCTTGAAGTTGACACATTGGCTTTACCTGTTGAGAATTGAAGCAGCCAGCAAATCTTTTGGATGCCCAAACCGTGGAAACATTCCCCAACTTTGTGCTCGTTCCTGGTCTCAAGATGGCCAAGGCGTGGAGACTGTAACCCTGCATGCTGTGTAGCTTGCAGTGCTAACCCAGGTTTGCTTGTCTGTTTCCTAATCCAAACAGAGCGTCAGAAGCCATGATGCATGTGGTGTGTGTGCTGCGGCTGGAGTGGGCCCAGACCAGGTATTTACAGACGCCGTGCTCAGCCTTCCATCCAGTTGATGTCTGTGGTCTCAAAGTCTTTTATCTGCAGTTTTAGAAGTTAGCTTCTGCCATTCACCATTTCACCCTGTTATGTTTACAACTGGCCTGTATAGACATTTGTATGTATATTGTCCATTATCCCTACCACCAGGTGTTGGCGCACATCTGTGGTCCTATCTACTCAGGAGGCTGAGGCAGGAAGATCGCAGGTTTGAGGCTAGCCTAGCCAAAACCCTGTCTCAAAAAAGGGCTCAGAATGTGTCTCAGTGGTAGAGTGCCCCTGGGTTCAATCCCCAGTGCCACCAAAAAATATATATATATGTATATATATTCATCTTTGGAGATGTCTGTTTTTATGGAGCTCATGAGTCTCTTTCCTGAGGATAATACTGCACATAATTACCTGGAGTTATAGCATGCAGGTATTTTCATTCTCTTTGAAAAAGAAATGGACACTTAAGCCAAGTGACTTGTCCAGGGTCATGGATTAATAACAAGCCACTTCCATTTCTTGAGATATAATAGGATTTTCTTTTCTAAGGTTTACAGGCTGGTTGTAATTGACTCATAGCATTTACTTTCCTTCTCCCAACCCTTGCCTTGTAAGAACAGGATAAAATTCCTCATAATTTCATTATTCTTAATATCCATTTTCTTTATCCTCTTCTCCTAATCATCCTGTAGTCCTGGCCCATCCCTCCCTACTTAGGCTGGTGAAATTGAAATTTCAGCTTCAGGAGGGATTGTGGGCCATTCTCGTGGTCAGTATGAAACCCAGTGAGGCTGCTTTCCCCTTCACCTCACATGGTTATAAAATTGGCATGCTGGGCACAGTGCTGCATGCCTGTAATCCCAGCGGCTTGGGAGGCTAAGGCAGGAGGATCGCGAGAAATAAAAGTGCATACCAGGCCTGTGTAATACCGCTGCATATTGCTGATATGGCTATTTCATTGCAATGCATTTGTGTGTATGTGTGGTTCTGGGAATCAAACCCAGGGACTCACTCTTGCTAGCAGATATTCTGTCACTGAGCCATATTCCTCGTCCCCATACAGTGCACTTTTTTATGTGAGCATTAGTACAAAATTGGACTTCTTCTAGAGGCAGCCTTATTGCTTAGATTCATCAAAATAATAACTTCCTAGATTGTAATGATAACAGGTTACACTGAGACGTGTTGTTTTTCTGCTTACTACTGAACTATAAATAAGGTAAGATTGTTTTATAAGAAGTTAGTAACTTCCTGACATAGTGCTTTATGTTTCCTGTTAACCAGTATTTGGAATGACATAAAGCTGTTTGAATCATGACTGCCTTCTTAAGCTCCCATATTAGAAGCTAACATTCAGCCCAAATCATTTGAATTGCATCTAACCAGATATAACATATAGTGGCCAGCCTTCTTAGCAGCCCTTGGACTTTTAACTACAGCTACTAGAATCTGCATAGAGGTGAACTTTTAACTGGATCCACATCAGGGGGGTTGAAACTGATGCTTTATGATGGTGGTATGATATCTGACTTGAGCTAGTGTTTAAGCCTGTGTCTCACTTGAGTAAATTTCAGCAAACCTAGATTGCCTATTGACACACTGCAATGATCTCCCTATGCTGCTGTCCCTGGGGAATCCCCTGTCCTTAATGTACTTCAGTGGTCTTAATTTAGTTGTGCTATTAATGTGATAACTGATGATCCTTTTAAAGTTGCAGTATTTCTTAGGATAATGATTGGGATTTAATGTCTGTTCTTTACTTTTGTTTTCTGAGTCAGATGCTCACACAGTTTTACCATGATTGGGAGAGTCTAGCTAGAAATAAAACAGAACATTTGCTTCTTTGTATTCTGGAGGCCTGCAAGCATTATGTAAATTCTGCTTTCTCTTTATAATTCCTGCTCCATCTCAAGTATACCTGGTTTTGGACTCTGTTTTGTAATTTCAGTGTTCACATTTGAAACACAAAAAAGTGTGTGGACCCACAAATCATTCTAGTGTGAGGATTCCTGAGATCCGTGATGTGCTTAAGAATCACTTGGGGAAGCGGGACTCTGGGCACAGTGGCACACCCCTGCCTATAATCCCTGTAATCCCTGATGGAGACTGAGGCAGGTGGATTGAGAGTTCAGAGCCAACCTCAGCAAAAAGCAAGGCACTAAGCAACTCAGTGAGACCCTGCCTCTAAATAAAATACAAAACAGGGCTCGGATGTGGCTCAATGGTCAAGGGCCCGAGTTCAATCCCTAGTATTTCTCCCCCACAACCTCCCCCCCCTCAAAAAAAAAATCACCTAGGGAGCTTATTGAAAATGTAGATTCTTGGGTCTGTTCTGAGGATAGTACCTCAGAGTTTGCATGCTTAACAAGTGTTCAGGCAATTTTAGGGTGAATGGTGAAGAAAACACTCTTGAGGATTCTAGAGTTCTAGACTAACTGGAATAAAGACAAGTAAGCGTCCTTCAGACCTGAGCGCTGACGTAGCATAATGAGTGTTAAAAGAGTATAAAAGAGAATGTCAAGTTTATGGTCCCAATTATATTTTATTTTTGAATATTTATTTTTTTAGTTGCACTTGGACACAATACCTTTATTTTATTTATTTATTTCTATGTGGTGCTGAGGATCAAACCCAGTTCCTTGAATGTGCTAGACAAATGCTCTACTTGTAAGCCACAACCCCAGACCCTAGGGTCCCAATTTTATTATCCTGTTTAAATTTGTATCTGATAATTTAGTGACGTTTCTTATCTGTTAATTAATCTTATTGGTTTCCCTTTTGTTACAGAGAAAAGTGGTAAAGAATCTACCTCACTGGGAATGTCATCCTTACCAACTTCAGATGGATTGAACCATCCAGCCCCTTCTTCAGGACGGAGTCCTGAGATTGGCAATCCTACGAGTCTTGCTCGCTCTGTCTCTGCTTCGGTCTGCCCTACCAAGCCCAGTGACCCAGATAGCATCGAACCTAAAGCTGTGAAGGCTTTGAAAGCTTCAGCTGAATTCCAGATAAACTCCCAAAAAAGAGAACATCTTCCTCTGCAAGATTTTTCTGGTCCTGCTTCCTCTACAGACCAGTGTCCAGCTATGCCTTTGCATAATTCATCAGAAGAAGCAGTTGTTGCAGATAATCTGGAGAAATCTGCTGAAAGAAGCACCCAGGGCCTCAAATGTTGTCTCCACACAAGACAGGAAGCTAGTTTATGTGTCACAGCTACAAGGATGCATGAGTCACAGGTGGCTGTAGGTGAAAAGAGTCGGCCTCCAGAAAATCAGAACCTGAGTCAAGAAAGTGGCTTTCAGCCTCACGAAGAACCAGAGAACGAACCACATGAAGCTGTACAGCATGATGCTCCACGTGACCAAGAACATCTTTGTGACATGAGGGACCTTCATGAACTTCCTGAAGAGAGGCAGCAGGACCAACAAGAAATATCTTTGGAAACTACAGTGAAAGGAGATGGGCTACAGCAGAGTGTGGATCTTCAAAGTACAAAAGAAAGTTTCCTACTTTCAGGACGCTTTGGCTGCACAGATTCAGAAACGCTTATGGAAATAGATGTAGTCGAACAGTCCCTAGTTGCTGTACTTAACTCAGCAGGCAGCCCCGAGAGCATTGGTGCATGTGACCTCCCTTCAGGTAACCCCCTGATGGAAGTAGAAACATCAAAATGTAACCCCTTGCCGGGAAGTCTCAATAATTCTGTTTCCACTCAGGATTTACAGCCCCGAGAAAGCAGTGCTGAAAGGTCTGGGACAAACAACGAATGTAGCAGCTACCCCCACTCTCTGAGTCTCTGTGGCAGTTGCGAGCCCTCTGTGGAGTCAGCAGAAGAGTCTTGTTCATCTGTAACAGCAGCCTTGAAAGAGCTTCATGAACTTTTAGTCATTAGTAATAAGCCAGCTTCTGAGAGTGTGTCTGAAGAAGTTGTCTGTCAATCAGAAAAAGGAGCCAAGAGCCAAACAGGTATTAAGGGCTTTTCAGAAAGATGGACACAAAATGAGCATCTGAGCCACAGTGAACAGTGTTCACAAGTCTCCTTTTATCAGGCCAGGTCTGTATCAGCCAAGATGGAAAACTTGGGCACTGTCCCTGGAACTGGAATCGAAGGTGTAGGAAATACTAACTTCAGGGGTCCAGGTGATAGCCTGTTGGCTGACAAGGAAAGTGTCCCCAAATCTAGGGAGTCAGGAAGTGAGAGCAGCTGTGTCACTGTACCCTCAGCTGAATCATCTAATCAGTTACACTGTACTTTAGGTGCAGAAATTTCATCCAAACTTGTAGCAGGAGAGGAGGATGCACTCAGTCAGACTTCTGAGCAAACTTCGCCATCCAGTTTCATTTTGGTTAAAGACTTGGGTCAGGGCAGACAGAATCCAATAACAGCCAGACCTGAAACCAGAGAAAATGTCTGCCCTGAAGCTGCAAGGCCGTTTCTCGAATTAGAGCCACTTACCAGCCATCCATCGAGTCCCTCCATTCTTCCACCATTAGTCTTTCCTGCCACAGATATTGACCGGATTCTCCGCGCGGGCTTTACTCTGCAGGAAGCTCTCGGGGCTCTGCATCGAGTCGGTGGAAATGCAGACCTTGCACTTCTTGTTTTGCTAGCAAAGAACATTGTAGTTCCTACATAACTATGGGAAGGTGGGCTAGCCCGTACTCCATTCCCTTAACCGAAGCTCCCGATACACACACACCATACACACACACGCAGTACATGTAGAGACCTGCAAGCAGAATGTTGAGCCAGATTTTTTTTTTAAAGATTTTTTTCGGCCAAAGTAATTTATGATCTCTTGTCTGATGAATTTGTCTATATTACTTGTTAAAATTTGGGCCTTTTTAAATGTATTGGCAGAATGTGCATACAAAAGCTTTTTATTCTCTGAAGATGATGTATTCTGGAATAAAATGGAGGTTTTGTGTATAGCATACCATTTTAGAATGAGAGTGAATGCTTTGAAAAGCAGAAGCCATGAGAACTCCCACCACCCAGGCAACAGAGACTGCCCGGCTTCATGCCGCGGCCGTGCTGTAGGCAGGGATGGCTTGTTGACTCAGTCGTCAGTGTAGAAACTTGACCACACAGTTTGGTGTTTGGAATCATACCCATTGTCTATGTGTCATGATTAACCAATTATAATAGGAAACAAATAATTCAGTTAATATTTCCTAGAGCAGTATGTTTTTATTTGTGTACTCAGGCTTTGACATTTTAATAGGGTGAGCAGAAGGGTTTGAAGCTCAGGCTGCTTTGAGCATCACAGGCTGCTGCGTGAGTTGCTTGCCAGGTATCTTACGACATTGGATGGGATATGGTGGAGGGATTAATGTTAGTGTGAAACACGGTGCTACCCAGATTTAAAAAGGGAAGGAAGAAAGACCCAATCGTAGCTCCCTTTGTAAATGTCAAGGACTGAGTGAATAGGTAAACACTGGAACTTACTAGAGATTGGGTTTGTGAGCATCTCACTGACATCTCAGCCCTTAATGACTGAGGAAGAAGGCAGATTCCACCAACAAGTTGAATGCCAGCAGCCTACTTCATTTCTAACCTGTCTTCTAGGAAGTTTAAGAGTTCGCTTTGGACTGTGATCTGAGCATAACACTGAAGAGTGATAGGTACCTTGTCTCTGGTTCATCTTGGTGTTTAGAATGGTCAGTCTGTTTGTCCTTCGTGGCAGTGAAAATAGTAATTGTAGTTTCTGACCCAAGTGGCCTTGGTAGAGTTTTCCATCCCTTTCTTTCCTCAGGAGTTTCTTTTTAAGCAAGACTTATATTTATGTTTACCATGTCAAGTTAGAGTGGGGCATAATATATAGACGTATTTATTGTGGCCTTTTTTAATATAAAGACTAGCCCTTGGAAGTCATTGTCCTGTGGGCCCCACTGTGCAATAATCCTATTGGATAGGTTTTAGGTAACTTTTCTGGAAAATAAACTGTTCTCCCAGGACCTAGCAGGAATCTGAAATCTTGGTTTTCTTGAAAAGAATTTTGAGAATGATAATCCCTGACTTCAGGTTATAGTTTGCAACTTGTTTGAACCAGAAGTTTTCAAAGAGTGATTTCTGATCTTCATGTTAAATGATTTTCTCTAAAATCTCTCTCTGAAAACTCATTCTTCCCATCAGAATTCAAGTCATTGAGCACAACCAAAATGGAGGCTCAGATCTCAGGAGCTTTTGATTAGAACTTTAATTTAGGGGTGCTTAGAGGCATTTCCCAACTCCCCATCCCAGTTTCTTTTTGCTGTGTTTGTATGTGTGCTGAGAGAGTTCAGCAGGGGGATGGCAAGTCACATACATGATCCTTTCTAAAGTGAGCAAAAGGCTGACAGAAAGAGTCATGGTTCACTGCTTTCCAGAGGGTGCCCTGAACAGCAGGTCAGCCAGTTGCCCTTAGGGTGCTCCTGTCGACAGCCGCATGTTGTGGACCCTTTGCCTGCCCTACACCAAAGATGGGAGATGCACTAGGAAACTGCTCAGAGGGTTTGTCGGCTGACTCTTCAAGCTGTGATTGTACTGAGGAGTTGGTACTATGATTGAGACAAATTCCAGCAGCAATGCAGCAGGGCCCCTTGTCTGCTTTATGGGTAGTGGTTTGGGGGTGTCTCAAGCCTATAATCCTTGGGACCTCAGGGTGGGGGGGTGGGAATTTATTGATGATAGTAGACTTCTCTCCAAAGGCCCTCTGGGAAGATTGGCTCGAAGCTTGCTTGGTGAGCCATGGCCACTGAGTTTTTACAACATGGATATTTGGGAATTACTTCCAAGTGGGATATGTAATATCAATCTGGAAAAATATTTCATTACAGTAGCTTTTTATGTATGTATATGTATATTTATTTTTAGGGGAAAATAAAATAGACCTGTAGTCATATAGTTATTAGGAATACTATAAATGAGCTTAACCCACTTGCCAAATATCCTCCTCCCTTTTGTCATTTTTTTTCCTAGTTGCTTTTGATTTTTAAAATCTTTATCCATTTGTCTAAAAATAAAGTTGACATTGTTAGGGCCTTCGAGTGACTTCTGGAACATGCAGAGGGTATTACAGAACATTGCACTAGTGAACCTTCATTGTCCCATTTTTATTCAGTGTTTAGCATTTAAGAACTTGGAAATCAGGCACGCAGTGCACATCTGCAGTCCTAGCAGCTCAGGAGCCTGAGGCAGGAGGATTGCAAGCTTAAGGCCAGCCTGAGCAACATAGCAAGTCCCTCCCTGTCTCAAAAAGGGCTAGGGATGTAGCTCAGTAAGGGTGCCCCTGGATTTAGTCCCTAGTACCACAAAAAAAAAAAAAAAAAACACCAACTCCAGGAATATAGAGATTCTAGATAGGCTTCTAAGAATAAGATGAAATCATTGGGCTGGACATGGTGGTGCTTGCCTGTAGTCCCAGCAACTCAGGAAGCTGAGGTACAAGGATTGCAAGTTCAAGGCTAGCCTCAGTAACTTAGCAAGGCCCTAAACAACTTAGACTGTCTGAAAAAATAAAAAAGGGCTGGGGTGTGGCTCAGTGGTTAAGTGACCCTGGGTTCAATCCCTGGTACAAAAAAAAATTCATTGTTGGCCTTCTGGTCAACAGCTGACCTAACAGCCATAAGAAGCAGTGGGTAGCTCCTTATGGGTAGCAGTGGGTAGCTCGATTCTGTGGCCAATACTTATCTCCAATGGTGGTCTCTTCACCAAAGAGCAGAGGGTTTCCCTGTAGAACTTGGCTATTTCTTGGGTTCCTGTGTGGAAGGTGCATTTGGTAACCAGACAGCTCTTCCTTGGGCTCCTCAGCAGTATGAACTGTTTCCACTTGTGCCTGTTTGGGGCTCAGCCACCCAGGAACTTCAGCCTGCAGCTTAGGTTTTAGCCAGTGACAGGTCACCAGTTGCTTGGTCAAACAAGCTGCACAGATGGTGAGCGCGTGGAACTCCCGCCAGGGGCTGTGGGTGGCTTAGTGGAGAAGCACTTGCCTGGCACCAGTGAGGCCCTGAGTTCCACCCCAGCAAAAAAGGTCACTTTTCTATCTTGCAGGCTCCTAGTCCCCACATTTTCTCCTAAAGCATTTCTCTAGCAGGGGGGTGCCTAGGAAGGACACATGAGACTGATTTCAATATTTCCAGTTCCTGTGAGAGCTGCCTGTTCTTCCCTCACCAGTTTTCTCACTTCTAGCAGAAGCCATAGAAATTTAGTTGGTTTGACTTTTCAGCTCATGTCTATAAATACATGTGTCAGCTATCATACATACAGTGATTGACAGATGTCTTACAGTTGATTTTACATAGATTAAAAACAAGCAATTTTGATATCTAGACACATTCTTCACTTATGGTGGCTTTTGCCCACCATCTGTATAATAAACTGCCTTGCAAGCAACCAGCCTGGAGAGTCACACTGTATTCTGAATGCTTTTTCCTGTAGCTGCCATGGTCCAGGGTGAGCAGGGTGACTGTGCAGCTCAGATTTCCAACCAGGGGCAAGCACCATTAGCAGCTAACCAGGCTGGGAGTGTGGCTTAACAGTAGTGCACATGAGGCCCTGGGTTCAATCCCCAGCACCAAAAAATACAAGCATATAAATAAGAAATGCCAGCTGGAATGTGCATTCTCTAGCACAAATGCCAAAAAGGCCAAAATTTCTCATTTGAGATTGGTGACAGTGTGGTCTGCAGCTGAAATAGAAATACAGTTATCACAAGTTTTTATCCTAGAAGATGAACATACTTCTTACTGGTCTGTAAAAGAGAAATGGCTTTGTTCCCCTGAGAATAATGCCAATATCTCTTAACAAAGTCAACTCAAAACCTGTTGTTGAGAATTAGAGGTGAAGTCTAGGTTCAAGTTTTATACTCTGTAGAGAATCCTAGGAGCTCATGGAATAAACTGAAGAACTTAGGACGGCCTTTTGATGTACTTGCTTTTCCTTTGTGCCTTAGTTTCTCCAAATAGCAGCAGTATCAAGTTTTGGTGGGGAATAAAAGTGGGAATATCTCGGGAATCCAATGTTTTGAAAGAAGCCCTCCTGGGGATGGAGGGCACAATGTGGTTTTCTGGCTCACCATCATCACTGGGTTTCCTGGATAGGAAGGTTGCTACGTAGGTTTTTACATCAGGCATACCAAAAGCACTTCCTAGAAGTTTTTTTGTTGTACCATCAAATCATACATGTTGGAAAGAAAGTTGGCTACTCCCTTCAAGCCTATGCAATCAGGTTGAACCAGAATTTATTGCTACTTGATTCATCAAACACCAAATGCCCACATGCCAGGCACTGATGAACTTGGGTGACTAAAACAGATGGGAAAACCCTACCCTTGTGAAGCTTTTGGTAGGGAGACACAAAGCAAATTTTAGCTTCAAAAGCAAGACGTATCTTTTGTTTAATAGCATGCTTTTTTATTTTAAAAGTCAGCTGGTTCCAATTCAGTCAACTGAGGGGAAAGCTCATAGTGGAATCAGATGCTGTGAACCTAGAATTACTCTTTAAATTTTTATGTTAAGAGCAAAATCAGGAAGAAAAAGGTGACATCTGTTAGAAATAACCTGAAGTCAGGTTAGCATGCTGAAGGCAGGTGGGCAGGACTGAAGTCAGTTTGTGAAAGGTGACCCTGTGTGTGCACCTCTTCCTTCTGCCCAGACCTCCTTCCATGCCGAAGTGCCCTCCCTCACCCCTTGAGTGCGGCTGCTCTGGAGTACTGACCATCTGGGCTCCCAGGAGTGAGCACAGTGCTATTTTAAAGCAGCCAAGTGCCACATGTGAAAATGGGAATCTAGAACAGAAAGTGTAGCAAGCGATGGTTTGGGACCGGGTGGCACGGAGGATTAATATACAGAAGGATTCAGGACCGCTCTGTCAAAGAGACATTCTCTAACCCAGTATTTAAAATGGCACAATATATGTTGTAGTCCTGAAGCATAGAGGTAGAATTTCTGAATCTTA